CAAAAAAATTCTTATGTAGATGAGGCACTTGATTCTCTCGCCTCCTCCTGTAGAGGGCACTTATTTTAGAGGCTTTTTAAACAGTTAAGCAGAATCATCCGTTGGGGACTCTGGCAGCAGCTAATCCAGCCTGACCTCAGCAGCTCTTGCCTTTTTCCTTTTACATTTTCATCATGGCAGACAAGAGCAGAGTTGAAGCCCCCTATGAAACAGCTGGAAAGGGTATGGAGGTCGGAGGGGTGGGAGGAATTCAAAATTAATGTAATTTGTAAGTAATTGTATTATTGTAAGTAATTTGTGTCTGTGTGTGTGTGTTTGTTTTACCCGCCTCTGCTGGCGCGCGTGCTGACACTTTTTTTATGTTGGACAAAGTGTCCGGGCTTTTGGACATAGCGGCAGGGCTTTTTGACACAGCAGCAGGGCTTTTGGACATAGCGGCAGGGCGACTTTTGCCTCTAGCTCTGGGGCAGCAGGGCGGCTTTGGTTCCATCCAGATTTGATTCTTTGAAGCTTTCCATAGGTCCTCTCTGCTTTTAAAGTCTTCCGTTGGTCTAAGGAAGTTTTTCCTCTATGGCGGACATAGCGCTAGAGCAGCCAAAAGGATCTTTCTTGAAAGCGGTTTTTGGCTGCTGTCAAGAAAGAGGCTTTTGGCCGCTCCGGCGCTGTGTCCGCCATTAGAGGCGGGACGTGTCCCGCCTCTATGGTGGACATAGCGCTGGAGCGTCCAAAACCCGCTTTCTTTCTTTTTGCCTCACCAGCCATAAACTTCACCGCACGTCAACGATGTATATGTGTGTGTATATGATAAAGCTTTGGTGGAAGTAAAAGTATGAAACACAAGCTGTGAAGTTTATTTTCTGTGTATTTTTTTGCATTTCCTGTCAATTAGGGGGCACATAGTCACCTGCTGAGACTAACTAACACTATTATTATGTCAATAACATAAAGTTCAATTTATATAACATATTTTACCATCCTTTATAATGCCTACATATAAAAATAGAGAACTTGATCGCTCCCAGCTCAAGTTCACTGACATCTATTCAGGGAATAGAGATTCACCATAAGGGATGAGTGGAGCAGTCTATTTCTTAGATTCCATATAATCATTTTACCCATAATATACAGATTTTTAAAAAATTCTTGAATACAGTTGCATAACAATGCATTTTATAACACATTAAACNGATGTTGGCTATGTAATAGTATACATGTGATTATATGTTATGAAAAATGAAAAAATGAAAAAAACTTTTTGGGAAAAAAAGGAGACTGCAAGTTTGTTTATGAAAATGTTTCAGGAAATAACTGTCCTTCTAGTTAAGGCAGATATCCCTAAAAGTATATCTGAATCCTGAAATGCTCCTCTCTTATCAATTGCTTAATTAGAACGCTCCTCATTCCTAGTTTGAATCACTCCCTTTGTATGTCTCTGTCTCTCTATCTCTCTCATTTTAGAATGAAATAAATCAAGATCATTTCCCCACTAGTTGTTTATACTGTTTATCAGAGTTATCCAACCATCAATATGCAAAAGTAACTGTAATAAAGATAGACGTTCTGTAACTTCATTGATGAGTAGTGTTAGTCACTACAGGGAAAAGATCTATTCCAACTGTGTTTGGATTGTTCATCCTGTTGATTAAATTCAAATATCCTCAAATCCTTCCCAAGCCGCATCACATTTTTATTTCTTGTTCCTGCCCTCAAGGGACGAAATTCCGTCACTTTATTGTCTGTGATAGATTCAGGTCAGAGTTGAGTTTCCTAAAAAGTATAGTAGCAGCAATTGCAGGTGGAAGCCCACAATTTAAGTTAAGGAGAAAGAATCATGCTAAGTTGTGGAGGGAAAGTATTAAGAAATGCCAGTAGTACTTTTTCATCAAGAGTTATTGGCTCTAATTTTATGGGATAGGATGCTTCAAAGACAGGTGCAGCAATTATTAGGATTGTTGAGGATGGGAACAATCAAAGCTCTAAAGATAGGAAAAACTGATTTGTTTCTTTGCTTCTTGTTAATATTTCATCTCCTAATTAAGGGCATATTAAACAGCTGAACAGATAAAAGTGCTAATTCAGTATCTGAGTTGATCTGAAGAAATACACCATTGACAAAGCTGTTATTATTTCAAGATGTTAGTTGTTTATTTTTAGCTACGGGTAAAACTCATCAGATAAATACAGGACACATTATTTCTAAAAAAAACCTCAGGTAAGTCTTCATTTGCCTCAGAATTAGAAATTCATAATATATTAGACAAAAAGCAGAAATTAACAATATAGATATACAGGTAGCCATCTATGTCAATACAATATTGATATATTGTATTTCAGAATTAGAAACTCATAATATATTAGACAAAAAGCAGAAATTAACAATATAGATAAACAGGTAGCCCTGTATATCTATATTGTATATCAATACAATATTGATATATTGCATTTCACTGCCAAGCAAGGTGGTTATTATTGTTATCAAGTGTTGAAGGAGTCCATATGTGATTGTTAAGTGAAAGCAGCTTTCCTTATTGGCTTTGCTTGTCAGAAGTTGATTGGGAAGGTCTAAAATGGTAATTGCATACCTGAGTTGGTGCAACCGTCATAAATACATGTGGCTGTCAAGTGATAAAATTTTGACCATGGGATGCTGGATTAGCACAATGCGAGGATTAATTGTAAGTCACTTTTTTCAGTGCTATTGTAACATCAAATGGTTACATAACAAATGATTGCAAGTTGAGGACTATCTGTACTGCAAGGCAGTTGTGGGATTCAAATAATTTAACAACCGGTTCTTTGCCCTAATGACTAGCTGGGTAGGTGTGGTTTGGTGGTCATGTGTCTGGATGGGTGTGGCCAACTCAACATCAGTCATGTCCGTGGGCCCTTTGCCTTAACTGTTACAATGTAATAAGGGTTAACCGGAGAGGCAGTTTCTGTAAGCAGGGCAATAAAGATCAGGCTAGAAACAACACCAGAGTTTCCTTCCTGCCTTCCTTACAGGATTAGCCCTGTAAAGTGGGAAAAAACAAAATTAGATTTCTTCCAACAATCGGTTCTCTGAACTGCTTAGAAAGTTAACAACCGGTTCTCCCGAATAGGTGGGAATTGGCTGAATCCCACCACTGCTGCAAGGTCATTTTAAAAGGTTCCACGATTGGCATTTTATACAGTACTGCCCAGAAGGTTGATCACCCAAGTTATTTGGCACACCAAGACAAAACATCACCTAGTATCTCAAAGTTCAAATGTTCATCTTGACCTGGTGTTCACTTCTTAGCCCATTGGCTTGTTGCCATCTACCTCTTTATTGTCTAAACCAAGACTGTCAAATTCCTGGTCCATAGGCTGGATGCATCATGTGCTGGCCACGCCAATGCCCAATTTAGCGAAGGGGAGGAGAGTCCCAATATGTCATGTGATGCCACTGTGATGATGCGAGTTTGATACCCCTGATCTAAACAGACGCTTCAGATTAGGCTTCATAACTGTTTTGTTTCAGTTCAGTTTAGACTTTCCAGACCACTTTTCAACTGTACATTTCACTCTAACCAAACAAAAGGCTACATTTTGAATCAAGTTGGTCTTTCAGCTCATTTATTGGATCATTCCTCATTTTGATGCAGATCAATCCTTTTGCTTAAAACGTCCTGCTACAGTTGAGAGTCATCTAGTTTTCCATTGTGCATCTCAGAGCATCTTGGTGTTTTCACCTTCTCAGTGGATGGAGAAGAAGAGTTTGAAGAGAAGGACACTTATCTTTAGTAAATACTTAGCTTGCTGGCATATTTTATTCACTGGGATGGAGACCTGAGTCCTTGTTTGGGGAGAGTTGCAAGCAATGTGCAAGCATCTTTTCTCCTTCATTTATGAAGATATTTACAATGTTCTCATAAGCCCAGGTCACTTGACTGTCAGCCACTGATGTTATGATGGATTTAAACACATTGGTGCTGTCAAGATTCTTCACTGAAATTAAGTAAGGAAGCTCTGCAAGATACCTCATTCTTTCAGGACAAAATGAACCACTCTACAGAGGAAAATTGCCCAGAAACAATGCATGACAAATTAATCCTTCTCTGAGTCTATAGTCATGGTGGCGAACCTATGGCACGCATGCCACAGCTGCACGCAGAGCCATATCTGCCGGCACGCAAGCTGTCAGCTCCAGTATGCATGTGTGCGCCAGCCAGCTGATTTTCGGCCTTCCGGCGGGCCGCCAGAAACTGTTTTCACCCTTCCTTGGCTTCAGGAAAGCCTCTGGAGCCTGGGGAGGTTGATAAACAGGCCCAACAAGCCCATTGGGCCCATTTTTCACCATTCCCAGGCTCCAGAGGCTTTCCTGGAGCCTGGGGAGGGTGAAAACGGCCTCCCCCAGCCCCCTGGAGGAAATACCCAAGCTAAGCTTGGAGGTGAGCAGTGCAGCACGTGTGGGGGGGAGCATGTGTGTGGGGGTTGTGTGCACATGTGCACGTGGGGGGGTGCTTTGCATTATGGGTGTCGGCACAAATGCACTCTGTCACATGCGTGCACTCACATTTTTGGCACCCAACAACAAAAAGGTTAGCCACCACTGGTCTATACTCAAAGCCAAGGTCAACAAGCTTCTCCAGTAAAAACAAGATTTTAAGCAAAATCAAGCAGATAGATTTACCAGAGCAGATTCGGTGCTGAATGAATATATATTTTAAGCATATGAACAGGTGGGCATGTGATAGAAAAAAGTAAAAAAAGAAAAGAAAGAAAAATAAAAAAGAAAGTTTTTTTAAAAAGGTGGTGCAATATGGCCATTTTGCTAAAAAGAGAAAAAGATGAAATTGTGATTTATGGGCTTAATGATTAGAAAGTGTATAATATGGAAAGAAGGGAGCCATGATGTAACTTTAGAGAGAACATAAAATATGAATGCATTTATAACTTGCATGAAAAAGATTGGAAGCCACTTCTTTTTACCTTTCTTTTTTCTTTCGTGTCCATGTATTTATCTCTTTTATTTTACTTTGCTTTCTTTTTAAAACAAAATGTACTGCTTTTACTTTGCAAAAAATAATTCCTTAATAACAAAAATAGTTTCCCAAAAGAGAGAAAGAGAACAGATGGTCAAGAAAATAATCAAAGGGACAGTGTTAATGAGAACAGTATATGAGGCACATCGTATTTGAGAAATATTAGTGTTCAAAGCATTCAGGGATCCTGCTAAGGCATTGTTAGCTAGAGCAAAAGGGAAGTTCTCCCCTCCATTCCCCCATGTGGGAATTCCTGAGTTTCATTACTCCACAAAAACAATTTTATCTAACTAGAGAAGGGGTCTCCAACCTTGGCAACTTTAGGACTTGTGAACTTCAACTCCCAGAATTCCTGAGGAATTCTGGGAGTTGAAGTCCACAAATCATAACATTGCCAAGGTTGGAGACCCCTAAACTAGAGAGAGTATACTGTGATGAGCAACATTTCCAAATACTATGGAATAGTAGTAGCCTCATGGTGGGATACAACATGAGGACAGATATTCCATATGGATATCATCCCCACTGTTTGCAGGGACAACAAATGAACTAGGAAAAACCTTTAGGAAATTTTTAAAAAATCAATGACCAACAAATTATTCCCATGCTTATCAGAGACCACTGGAGAATTTCCACAACCTCTCCAATGGGGGGAAATGTCCCTCCAATGTTTCTGCCCTCAAACAGGGTAGAGAATTTCAATTTGCAGGAATGTAAATTGTAAGAACCATCCTACTAATAATCATTTGTCAACAGTAAAAAAATAAATGTCTTTCTTTTCTTTATATCTCTCCTTCATTTCTCCCTCTCCCTCCCCCCCNTCAACCCTGAGCCGGTGAGATTTGAACCGCTGAACTGCTGATCTAGCAGTAGCCTGCAGTGCTGCATTTAACCACTGCGCCACCTTGGCTCAAGGTGGTCCTCTTTATCTTAAAGTCAAGCATAGGTTTAAATGGTAAGTTAAACTGCCCATGTATATAATTATAGACTCCTGGTACTTTTTAAAATGTCATTAGCTTTCTCAAAAGCTCAGCATGTTGTCTGTGTAATACATTAAAACATTTTTGAAAAACGGATTGAACAAAGTTACTATTTTGAACAATTCAACTGTTTGATTAAAATGAACTAAACTTTAATAAACATATATATAACTGCCCGTTCACTCTTTTCAAGGTGTAAACAGTCAGACTAAGAAGCCTCTATAGCTTTTTGTTTTATCTGACAGTAATAATCTTTTGGGAGTACCATATATTAAGTTTCAAATTATGAGATGATATATTTCTTTTTCAGTAACTGGCAATAATTCTGGTTTTTAATTTCATTTTCATTAATTGAAGGGCTTCCTGGATTGATTGTTTATTCTCTGAAAAGTTGTATGCCCAGACAAAATGCTTATTTGCATTTCAACACTGAGATGCAGTGAATATATGAAAATTTATTTTTTTATTCTAAAGGAATCTAATGCAATGTCTAATGCACTCTAAAATTAAATTTGCAGACATGATATCAATAGCATCACACTTTTAAATTCAGAAATTTTACTATGTCAGTCCAAATTCAAATAATAATTTTCAAGACAGGTTAATTTTTAAAGGGGTATACAATGTTTGTTGAATTTTTATCTAATAAGGAATGAGATATAGTTCTAAAATTGGTATAAAAATTAAACATAAATTACTTCATGGATTCTCACTTTTATAAAGAACTTCTGAAATGATTCCAAAATACGTAACCATGGTTTCAGATTTGCTTATAGAGATAATACTACTATTGGAAAGCTACAGAAGTCATTTACATTACTATCTTATTTTTTAGGAGTTCTAAACTGTATTAAAAGTTTTCCATTGAAGCTATGTACATGTTATCATTCATTATAAAAATGTTTCATTTTAATGTTTGTCTGTCACTGAACTTATATGAAACTTTCCTGTTGATTTCAAGTGGGGTAGGTAACTATTTAGTTATTTCACATTTTGATCATTTCAAGATATGACTGCCTAATTACCCAAGGAACTAAACCTTTATGTTTTACATTTTTAAATTAGCATTTGTTGAATTAAGTTCTTTTGATTTTTGTAATGGTCCCTTTTTGTTACATGTTTCTTTCCATAGCCATTCTTTGCCCCATATGTTTACATGCCAAGGTATTACCCTGGCAATTCTCATCTCACCTCCCGTCCATCACTAAAACCGACTTTGTCCAGGGAACAAAGCATTGGTCTAGTAAGTATCTTGTAAAGAAAATGAACATATTAATTTACATGATAAGATGAGTAAGTAATACAAGAATAGATATGTTTAATTATGGCACATGTATACCTAAACTATATTTTCTTTAGAAGTATTATTGGAAGACTTAAAATAAAAGTTAGTTAAGGCAGCGCAATGTACCTTGTTCCACTTTTAAAACATTTGTATATTAGGTTTCACTTGCTATATTAAAATTGATGTATTTCTAACGTAAGAAAAGAAAGACTTACCTTTAAGTTAGTGTAACTAAATTAGTAACTGCAAAGACAAACAATTGAGTAAACAATTGTATATTATATTTAAAATCAGATAGTGAAGTTTATTTCTAGTTTGATTCTGATTTTATGTCAGGTTAAAAATGGGGCCTTACACACATTTTTATAATTGCGCCATACTTTGGTACATTTAAAATCTTTTAACAGCAACTTAACTCATCAGCCTATCCCTATCCCTGGCAAGTCTCTAAAATTATTAAATAAGATCAGGCCTGAATAGTGCTACTTGGAAGGAAGATCCCAGAAATGTAGATTACATTAGAGATTAAAAACATCCCAGAAGAAAACAGTGCCAAGTTACCCCCATGCTATTGACAAGTTGCAATTCAAGGAAGTAATGAGGAGTCAAGCAAAATTCAGAAGAGATTTTTCCTTATCTTCATAGGAATTCATATTGAATCAACTGATGTTCAGAAAGAAATAAGAAACATTAGGAAAAATAATTATTTTAGAGTGAAATTATACAGAGACGTTTATACTTTATTATAAAATGAATCAAAATCAGAGATAATCGCCTCAGGGCTTGAGGGCCACAGGTGACAGACATGTTTTTTGGGGAAACATGTTCTTCCTAACAAGGACATGATATTTTGATCATATGTGCCCCCTCTTCTTCACTTATTTATAGACAAATAGTAGTTTGAACAAAACAAGATATAATAGAAAGTTGTGGTTTATTGTTAAACTAAAAAGTTAAATGGAGAATTGATATGAATATAGGAAAGAGAGAGGAAGAAAATACAAACAAATAAAATGATCAATATAGCTGCTCTATTTTAAACCCTGGCTTAAAAATATTCTGCGTACGGAATGATACATTCTTTGATACATCTTCATCCATTGTTTATTTTTATTTTTGTGTGTGTGTCAACATTTTGTCCAAATCATAATGGTTTGTTGTTGTTGTTAGGATATTATCAAGGAGGATGTTGATGAGTGGCTATCGATACCCACAGAGCCCTCAATGGTAAAAGTGTAGTCATGTGGTGTGTGGAACTGTAGCATCTCGTTGCTTCCTCAACAATAATGAATTTGCTTTAATTATAACTGCTGTTCACTAACTGCATCAGTGGCTTGATGGACAAATAGTATAGATGAAGACTAATAAGCATAGTTTGTGAATGAATTGGCTAATATCCTGCTTATAGAATATATTATTTACATTTTCCATGCTGCCTTTCAGTAGTCCGCCAAAAACAGTTATTTTTAATAATATAAAGCGTGTTACATCTTCATTAGTAAGTGTTTTTTTCGGTTCATGAAACACATTTGATATATTTAAATTTATGTTGTCAAACAATTTGTATACTGCTGAGTCTCTAACACTCTGGGTAGTTTACACTTACCATGACACGCTATCATACCGTAAAGTAAAATTGTGTTAGCTGTTCAGTTCTGTAGAAGTGATTAGCTGATGCCTTCTCCAAATGATTTGGTCAAATAAAACCTGTGCTTTTTCAGTTACACCCATGAAGTTGCTGCAGTTGACAAAACCATAAAGCTAATTTTAGGCAGTAGTGATGATAAAATATACTCCTACTGAGCTTGCACAGAAGTCTGGCTTCACATATTTACACTACTGTCACACTGATTTACAAGTGTTTCCATAGGTTATATTAAACATGAGACTTACTTCCCACATGTCCATCTTTTCTAATATATATATATATATATATATATA